GTTGCCTCAGTCTTTTGTTAAGTTCGCTTCTACACACACACAGACACATAAACATACACACGCATTCACACTCATCTGCATTTCCATTTCAGGGGCAACGCCAGCTTTAACAAACCCAACCAAAACCATGACAAGCCCCAATTAGGCCGCTTAACGCTTTCGCATTCGAACGCCTTGAAATAGCCCATTGAAACATTTTGAAGCATCCGAGAACATAACTAGAACTAGAACTAAAACTAGCCTGTCATCGCCTCGCACCACTGACCCACACAAAAAGCAGCTGTTCAAGCCAAAGCCAAGGCCGACTGCCCACAAAACACAACGAAATCAAGGCTTATTTTCTTTTTTGGCCATCAACAACAACACGATCATGAATTATCAGAAGGCCAGTGAAACGCATTCACCGTCCCCGTTCAAGAAGCCGAAACGGCCGCCGGGCAACGGCAGCGGCAAAGCCAACGGCAACGGGAACGGGAACAGCATACAAAACTTTTGGAACGAACGCATCATGGAGCGCTTCATAAAGGCGAATCTATTCATTATCTGCTGCGTGGCGGCGGGCCTCTTGCTGGTAAGTAAACCGATCGTGATTTACACTCGTATACTCTATATATATTCCTTCTTTATGCCCCTGAATCGACAAATGGGTATAATGTTCTTTGTGCAAGTGTTCCAACGGGCAGAAGGGGGCATCTTCTAACATAAGAGGTATATATATATTAAGCTGATCAGGAGCTGATTTTAACTAGTCCGTCTGTCTGTCTTTTTTGTCAATCTGAGTAAGCATGTCAATCTCAGAATCTCTACAAAAGCGAAAGAATTGAAATTTTAAATATATATTCTCCCATACCCCATATACAGCATGAGTATATCTATGGAGTTCGATATCATATCCGATTTTGATAATATCAATAAAAAACGTTTTCTAGACATTATTTTTCAAGCATAATCCGAAGATTATAAAAGCTAGTTAGAGAAATCTGATTATGTAGGCTTAGGTTTAGATCAGGCATGTTTTACATTTTGAATACCCCCCCCCCCCCCCCCCCACGCAGGTCTTAAGTGTAACGAGAACGAATAACAATCTTCGGCAAGCCAAAGATTTAATACCCTTGAAGATCGAACCTTTTCGCAATGTTTTGCTCGTATTTAAGAAGCTCAGGGAAAATATAATAGTTAATGCCGAGTATGGTTATAGTATTTTGAAAAATAAAAAGTTTTTCATACAAGAACCTGCTTTTCGAACGATCGTTACTACGGCAGCTATATGATATAGTGGTCCGGTGTATACAAGATTTTGCTTACATGTAGGGAGCATAGTAAAACTTAAAAATGCCGAGTTTGGTCCATAGTTTTCTGTAGTTTCCAAGTTTTTCATACAATAACCTACTTTTCGACCGATTGTTCCATTGGCAGCTATATGATATTGTGGTCCGATCCAGCCGGTTTCGCCATATGTACTGCATGCAACAGAAAGGTAAAGTTTCATGACGATAGCTTCTAAACTGAGACTAGTTCGCATAGAAACAGACGGACGAACGGACGGACGGACAGAATATATACACTTTATTAGATCGAAGATGTCTCCTTTATACATTACACATTTCGAGACAAAATTATAATACCCTCTGCAAGGGTATACAAATATATCAGAGCCTTGCGCTTTAGCTTATGCTAAATGTGTGCATGCCATATTTAAGCTTAGCTAATTTCAAGTAGCTTGGACTTAAAGCGACTTAGTAAAGAATGCAAAGGTAGGCAGGCAGTGGGAAGGTGTAAAAGCAGGCATAGAAGGCAGCTTGAATTCCTGTAACAGCAGCTGGCCAGCGCATGCAGAGTATCTGCCAGTTGGGCATACCCGACCAGAGCACTCTTTGTTATTTTTGTAAGCTATTGTGGGTACCGTTATCAGTTGGCAACATATATTTATTTTTTGTGCCATTAAGTGAAAATGAAATGAAATCGTTTTGCGCAAAACGGAAAAAAATTTAAAACTTTTTTGCTGCAACGATTCGTGACAGAAAGACGGACGGACGGGCGGACAGACAGACGGACGGACACAAGACAAGACAGACTCATTAATTGATTGATGGATGAGTGCGGCGCAAATGTGTCTCCATCTCCCAGCTCCGAGCTCCAGTTGCAGCTGCAACTGCGACAGCTTTATTGAGATTTCCGTTTTGCTTTTGATTTATTTGTTTTCGCTTTTTCTTTGCTGCGCACAAATTTTCACCCATTTCGCACAGATTGTCTATCTGGGCGCGTTTTCGTGTGAGGTCTCTTGGCTGCTGGAGGCGCACGGCGAGCTGCCCATCGCCGCCTACGCTCTGTGCTCCCTGTACTTTGTGATGTTCGTGGCGACGACCATATTGATCCACGGCCTGGTGAGCGGCCTTTGCTGGCCGCTGTTCGCCTGGTCGGCGGCAATCGGTCTGCTGTCCATACCGGAGCTGGTGCTGGTGATGCTAATGACCACGCAGCATTGGGTGAGTAGCCAAAATTTGCTCAGCTGCTCAACCTTAGCTAATCCCAGCTCTATTTCATTCGCAGGGCCTGCAGTCGGTGCATGGGCTGACGGAGCTGACGTCCTATTTGATACGCTTGATTATCAACTGTCTGGCGCTCATCTGTGTGATACCCACGGGCATCAAGTGGCGTCGCGAGACGCAGGTGCTCAGCCAGCTGCAGGGCCTGGCCACGCGGCTCTCGCTGCAAACGCCCGCGCCCAGCGTGCCCATGACCAAGGCGGATTCGCGCCGATCCAGCCAGCGGCTCGACGGCTTCGAGAATGCCGGCTACCAGCTGTGCGACGAGACCAAGCTGCACCCGAATAACGGCCAGCTGTTCGGCTCGCAGAACGAGTTCAATGCGAGCATGTTTGCCCCGGCGCTCGCCCAGCAGTTCAGCAACAGTGGAGCACAGCGAAGCAGCGGCGGGAACGGCGGACATCGTGCCCAATCTCTGATGGATTTGCGCTGCACGCTGCCGGGCATGTACAATCCGCGTCATGTGCTGGACACGGAGGACAAAAATGCCAAGTACTTTAACATAACCATTGACGATCTGAAGAACAATCTGCATGACTCGCATCGACCGTCGCCGCCGTCGCTAATTGGCTCCACCAACAACGATCCCATCTACTGCTCCATTGAGCCCAAGCAGCTGACCCCGCCGCCGCCCGCCCAGCTGCGCCACTATCAGCAGGGGCAGCAGCAGGGGCAGCGCGGCAAGGCGCAGCAGTCGCCGCCCACGAAGCTAGCGCGCAACTGCATCTCGCTGGAGAATCTGGATGGCATCAACAAGGTGCAGAACGATCTGGCCGCCTACGGCAATAATCTGCTGCAGAACTATACGCAACAGCAGCAATACTATCTGGCCATGCTGCTCAACAATCCGCTCCAGCAGCAGGCGGCGGCGGCGGCAGTTGCCAACCTCTATCGTCGTCCCTCCGCCTGCAGCGCGACGGGCAGCTGCTCGGTCCTCGCCCAGCCGCTGCAGCGGCGCGGCTCCCACCAGCATCATCAGCAGCAGCAGCATATGCAGTACTACGGCGGCTTCGGCTATGCCAACTATGCCAATCCGTACATCACGGCCAATAGCAAGCTGTCGCTGGGCAACGAGTCCGACGACTATCGCAAGTATCGCGATGTGGCTCTCTAAAGACTCCAGTCATAACTATATATACTTAAACATATATATATATATAAATTAGAGCTCTGCATCGAGTCAATCGCACTTCGGGTACTCGAACAATTATTTCACTCGAGCGAGTCAAGCCTCAAATATGTTCGGCTCGAGCTGTTCGAGTTGCAGACAAATAATTGAATCGGTCGACTCGAACGAATATTCGGTCCAGTTGAACAAATAAGTTCGAGCTCGCTTTAAATTCGACTATTTTGGTAGTTATCGCGATGTGGCTCTCTAAAAACTAAGCTCCAGTCATAACAATATATACATAAAAATATATATTTAAATTTGAGCTCCGCATCGAGTCAACCGAAACGCACTTTGGATACTCGAACAATTATTTCACTCGAGCGAGTCAAGCATCAAACATGTTCGAGTTGCATACTAGAAATCGAGTCGGTCGGATCGAACATGTTGCTGACTCAGGCTGGTCGAACTTGGTTTGATGACACTTTTAATCGAACACTGCTTGGCTCGATACTCGTAAGCTTCATTCATGTTCATATGCACCGATGCAGAGCCCTTATATGTATATATATTTATAGATATAGATACGTATTCATACTCATTAGCTGTAGCCCGCTCGACTACCACACAAATGCAATTCCTCGGAATAACGACCAAAGAGCCACAAACTAACTCAGTTTCCGTTACAGTTCGTAAAGTTAGCCGGATAGTCGCCCTCTACTGGTTAGTTCTAGTTCTAAAGTTCCACTAAATCTGATTAAAAACCAGTTGTAAGCATTCTAGATGTAAGCGAGCCCCATGTTGCAAACGAACTTTACAGCGACAACGAATTAGGACCGTAAAATAATTATTAATTTCAGTAATTACCTTTAAATTGCCGTTACTAAAATTAATGCAACAATTAAAGTCAGACTCTTAGATACATTTAGAAATTAATTACCCTGCCAATACGCCTAATTACTCAAGTAATTGTAACTTGAGTGATCTAATTACTCAAGTAGTTAACTTCTAAGAGTTCTAATTACTCAAGTAATTAACATCTGAGAGTTCTAATTACTCAAGTAATTAACATCTGAGAGCTCTTATTACTCAAGTAATTAACTTCTGAGAGTTCTAATTACTCAAGTAATTATAATTTGCAAATTGAACTGCTTGTACAGTGATCACTCGCGAAATGAAACCTAGTGAATAATTTAAATTTGCAATAAATTCCTAAATGATTTCTTGTAAAACTTAACAAAGTCTCTCGTTCTCTAAATTATGTACCCCTTTAGAATTTCAGTTTGAAGTTTATTGACAGTTGTAACTATCGATCGATCACTGTACTTGAGATTTACGAAAACGGCTCAGTTGTAGAGTTGTGTAATTAACATAAACAAATCGATAAGTGTAAATAAACATACTTGTAGTATTATAACAAAATGTGTTTTAGATAAAGTACCTCATGGGCCCAACAGATCGGCCAGCGGATTATCGGCTCCATCGACTTTACTGGCCTGCAGAGGCGTCGCCATCGTCGTCTTGCTGGCCGCCTTTTTGGGCACAGGCCTGGCCTGGCTGCTTGGAGCAGCTCGCTTAGCACCAGGAGCAGCAGCAGCAGCTCCGCCGCCAAACAGATCGTCGTCATCATCATCATCACTGAACAGACTCTTGGCGGGCTTGGCGGGCAGCTTTGCTTTGCTGGTCAATGCTTTGGGCGGCTTCTGCTCCGGCTCCTCCTCGCTGCTGCTTGCGAACAGGGGAGCTTGGCTAATGGCTGCAGCGGGAGCGGGAGCTGGCTGTGCTTTGCTCACGGACGCAGCTGCGCTGCCAAACAAATCGTCATCATCGTCGCTGTCATCGAAGAGTTTGGATTTAACAGGCTTCGGCTTCGGCTTGGACTTGTCCAAGACAACGGAGGCTGGCGCTGGCGCCTGCACTTTACTGGATTTAGGTTCAACTACCTGTGGCTTCTTAGTTGCAGCCACAGTCTTGAGCTTGCCTGTCTGAAAGAGTGCATCATCGTCGTCGTCTTCATCGCTAACCAAGAAAGCAGATTTTGCTGTGGATTTGAGCTCATCCTTTGGTGGTTTCTGGCTGGGCAAGGCAGTCGGAGCAGCTGCTGCTGCTGACCTGGTTGCTGCGGCAGCAAACATGGCATCCTCATCCGCATCGTTGTTGTCCAAGAAGGATACATAGGATTTGGGTGGACCAGTAGGAGCTCTAGATGTGCCCATATTGGCATACTGTGCTGGTCTTTGTGCTGTGGATGGGCTAAAGAGGAAACCGTTGCTATCATCATCCTCGTCGCTATCCAAAAAGGAAGCCGATTTAGCAAAGGGCTTAAAGTCATCCTCGGGTGGTTGTGTGGACAGCATGGCAACGGGAGTTGTTGCTAGGGGAGCAACGGGAGTTGTTGCTGGGGGAGCAACGGGAGCAATTGCTGGCGGAGCAAATGGAGAAGTTGCTCTCGGAGCGACTGGAGGAACAACTGCGGGCACCTTTTCAGCTTTTCTATCCAGCGTTTTGCCAAAGAGCGCATCATCATCCGGATCGCAGTCCAAAAATAAAGCTGTCTTCGATTTGGCTGCTTGAGATGATTCTTGAGCAGCGGCTGGCTGTGCTCTAAATGCCTTGAACAAGGCATCATCCGCTGCCGCCTCGTTGTCATCACTATCAAAGCTGGGCAGGCCAGCTGATTTGCTGGAGAGCGAAGCAGTTGTGGATGTTGCCGCTGATGGGGACGTAGACGAGGCAGGAGTTGGCTCAGGCGGTGCCTCCAGCAAACTCCTGGCGTAGTTCGCCTGTCGTGCTCGGCGCGTGGACGGCCGGCGATGGGCGGGACCGCGCACTCGCGTCTTGCTGATGCACTGCAAAATGTTGTCCGCCTCGCTGGAGCTGGATATCGCCGCTTGGCGAACTGGAGCAGCACTGCGCGCTGCCTCCTCCAGCTTCTTGGGCGGCTTAGGCAAGGCGCCGGGGCCGGAGCCGGCGCCGGGCAGCAGCGCCTGCACATTGATGTTTATATTGGGCATTTGCAGTTTTTTAACGGGTGAGCTGGGTTTGGGCGCATCCGCCGGCGGCGGCTCCTCAGCAAAGATCGCCGACTTGGCCTGCGGAGCGGCTGAGCCTGCTCGGGCCGTTTCGCTGAAGTCGTCGTAGAAGATCGTGTGTATGCGCTTTGGAGCAGCTGCATCCGGTTGCTTTGCAGCGTTTGCAGATACTGCAGCTATCTCCTTTTCCTCCTGCTCATCCTCATCCTCATCGTCCTCTGGCGGCTCGTCGCTGAACAGACGCATGCCACCATAGTCATTGTTGGCCTGCTCCACGGTCGCTGCAGCTGCGGGCGGCAAATCGGGCAGCGAGGGCTCAAAGAAATCCTGTTCGCTGTCGAACATTTTGGTGGCACTCAGGCTGCTCAGGCTGCTGGTGCCCAAGGATTGAAAGAACTCGCTATCGTCGGGCGGCTCATCCGAGAAGAGGCTCGAATAGTTTTGCATTATCTGCTGAGCAGCTGCCAAATCCGCCGGCGCTTGAGAGTGCGTTAACTTTTTGGTTTGCCCAGCCACCAGGCTGATGATGGGATCCTGCTGCAGCTGCTGCTGGTCAGCCGGCGGCGGCTGCTCCTCCTCCGCCTCCTCCTCCTCCTCAGCTATTGTATTTGCGGAGCTGTCTTTGATGTTCTTTAATAAATCACCCAGCAGAGCAGGCTTCACTTGTTGCTGCTCTTCATTATTGCTCGATAGCTCCGCTTCATCCTTGTTCTTAGGCTCGTCCTGGTCCTCTTCTGCTTTGTTCGTTGGCTCTGGCAGCAGTTCCCCAGTTGTTGTAATCTCTTTTGAATCTCTTGTCGTATGGGATGAGGAACTTATGACAACTTCCTCGTCGCTGAAATCATCGCTGAATAGATCCACTTTGGAAATGGGCAGCTGTGCTTTCAAGTTTGCCGGCGCCTCATCAGGCGAGTCTTGGCTTGCCTGCGGAATCTGCCGCTCGAGCTTTTTGGCTTGTTGTCCAAAGAGTTCTGCCTGCTCAGGCAGCTGCTGCTCCACGTCTGCTGGCGTTGCCTCCTCCACAAGCCTCTTGGTTTCGCTCAGCTGCTCCTTTTCGGCGCCAGCATATGGACTTGGCTTCTTTGCTTTGGGCGTGCCAAACAGATCATCATCACCCAGATCATCAAAGAGACTACGAGGTGCAGCTGGCGGTTCCCTAGCTGGTGGCTGGACAAGTGAAACCTTGGTTTGCTGTTGCGGTTGTTTTTCAGCAGCCTTTCTTGAGCTCGTGCCAAATATATCATTCACATTCTCCACATCTTCACCGTCATCATCAAAAAGCGAGGTTGCGCTTACTATATTGCTGGCCAATTTAGTTGGCTGCACTGTTGGCGTTTTCTTGGCAAAGATGTCATCAATGTCCAGATCATCATCATCATCAAATAATGTGGTCTTGGGCGTTTGTTGTTGTGGCTTTGGTTTGGCTGTAAAGGAACTGAGGAAATCATCGACATCATCATCCAAATTGTCATCAAAGAGCGATGTTGGCAGCTTCTTGGCAGGATTTGCCGTGCTGGTCGCTGGCCTCAAACTGGGACTCGGCGGTGGGCTGTCCTCGAAGAGATTTAGGCTACGCTGTGGTGTCTCAATTGGTTTGCGTGCGGGAGCAACAGGCTTAACTTCCTGAGGCGCCGGCGATTCTTTGGGCGAATTCTTAGCTTTGGTCACAGTTGCGGGCGGCGTTGGGCCGTTGGCCGACTTGGACTGCACCTTGTCCACAATTTCGGACATAAAGGAATTGAACTCATCGTCGTTGAACAGATTAACAGGCTTTCGCTTGATTTGACTGGCAGCACTTGGCGTGGGCCTCACTGCGCTGGGCACATCAATGGGCGTGGCAGCGGCAGCAACTGGGATCGCTTCATCGAATAGCTTAGGCGGCGATTGCCTGCCAGCCTGGATGACCACCTTGCTGGCGCTGCTGCTGCTCGAACTGAGGCCCGTCGCCGCAGCGTTCGCATGCGAAATGGCTGGCGATGAGTTGAGCGAGGAAGCTGAGCTGGAAGGTGGATCATCGCTGGGCGGTGAAGCACGTAGCGCTGCAAACATGTCGCTCTCATGTGGATTTCTATGCATGCTTATGATAGGACGCGGCCGAGCTAGTGGCAGAACAGGCTGAGGCACAGACTGGGACACAGGCTGAGGCGGAGGTTGAGCCACAGGAGTTGCCTGGTTTTGTGCGGGCATTTCCCTTGGCAGCGATGCCAGCGATGAGGAGTCCGAGTGCTGTGCTTGATGCACGGGCGTGGCCTTTGGCGCAGCTGTTTCTAGCTCATCAGACGAGCTCGAGGAGAACTGCTCGGGCTGTTCATCTTCGCTGTTCTCCGTGCTGTCGTAGAGTCCGGCGTGTTTGTGCTCCTGCCACTCCTTGGAGCCTATAACATAGGGCAGTGGTATGCTGTCGTAGGGATTCTTATCGCGATAGACGGTGCTGCAATAAACAAGAGGTCTTAAGATTGAAGCTGTATGCTACAATTGGAGTACTTACGTGGCATTTACAGTGCCGTCCTCTTCATCCGAGTCGGTCAATTCAATGGTCACCGCCTCGAAGTTCTTTCTGAACATTTGTAGATTGTTCTGTAGAAACTCAGCGGCCAGCTCCTGGGAACTCTTCAATGGCAACTCGGGCTGTAATTGGGGGGTTGTTTAAATACAACTACAATTCCAATGCAATTTACAGTGCTGCCAATCCATTTTCAGACTAAGCCCGGCTATTTTCGGAGCCCATCAGCCGGAAATAGTGAAATTTTCCACTGATTTGGCCATTTAGCTAGTTTATTGAAGCGGCAGTTGGCAGCACTGTTTATGTACCTCAGCACCTTCTTTTGCTGCTCCTCGGGCAGGACAAAGTCATCATCGTCCACCTCCTCCACCCTGTACTCCACGAACTGCTGGCCAAACTGCAGCGAACGCAAACTGTTCGTCGCATTGTCCAGCGCAATATCCACGCGTCTTACTTTCGTTTCGAATTCTCTAAAATTACGACTAGTTTGTTCGCCCCGCTCGTGAAGATTCTGAAAAACTTTGTGATTACAAAAAATTGGCAACTTTTTTCACGCAAATTCACGCCCACCTGAGAGATACGTTTCATTAGCTCCAGCAGCGCACAATCGCCAGCGAAATTCCAATCCGACGCCTGCCCGACAATGGCAGCTACATCCGCGCTAATATCCATATTAAATATATTAAAAATGCCTTACTTTTGCATAAATACTTTGTATATAAACAAACAAAAAATAAAATTGCCGCAGTAGCGGCTGTGTTCGCTTTCCATCAAGCACAATGGGACTAGGTTTGATATGACCCACACACGTTACGACTGACAACAGTGAAGGTGCTTGTGAAATTTTAATTTTTAAAAGAAACCCTGATAGTTGACAAGCAATAACATTGCTTAAATGTAGTATTTAAATATAAAAAAAAGCAAATAGCCATTCCAATAATAAATATATATATTATGCATTTACTAACATTAACGAAGTGGCCCACACACTACACAGCTGTCATACCAGTGTTGTGTATGCATGACGGCCCGACTCAACAGCTGTTTTCATTCAATTCTCTTCTACTGCCATTCTCCACGTGTTGAGCATGGGCCGAGTTTGAATTTGCATTTAAAAGTTTATCATAAATATTAATTGTGAACAAAACTATAAAATTAAAGTGCATACGGCTACAATTCGAGCTATTAACAATAAAAATGGCTATGCTTGCAGAACCGCGTCGCCGCAAACGGTACAACTTGTGTCCGCGCGGAAAGGCGCTCTACGAAGGTGAATGAAGCGGAATAGAAAAATGGAACGCTTACAACTAACATTGCATTACGTTTGTTATAAAATGTTTTATATTTAATTAACAGATGATACGCGTTTTGGCACGAAAATGCTCGAAAAAATGGGCTGGTCGAAGGGTAGAGGTCTCGGTGCGAAGCTGGATGGCTCTCAGGAATTTGTGCGTGTGCGCTTCAAGAACGATGCCGAGGGCTTGGGCTACGAGACGCGCGACGATCAATGGACCACGCACGAGGAGGGTTTTAATGGTCTACTGAAAACGCTGAATGGAGATGTCGACAATGAAGCAAATGGCAACGCATCCGCTTCCGAAGAAGAAACCCGGCCCATGGGTTTTGGTTTCAAGGCAGCAGCTCCCGTAGAGTCCAAGCCCAAGACGCTGAAGGAAAATATCAGCGGCATATCGCTAGAGGAGAAGTCGAAGAGCAGCAAAGCTCGTGTGCATTACAAGAAATTTACGCGTGGCAAGGATCTGTCGCAGTACAGCGAAAAGGACCTGGCCAACATATTTGGCAAGAAGGCCACCGATGATATTGAGACGCCTGTGCAAATTGAGGAACAGCCGGAGGAAGAAGAGCAGCCCGTGAATCCCAACTTTGCGGGCGTGCAGACGGTGAGCACTGGACTCTCTGTAAACGATTACTTTAAGCAGAAAATGGAAGCTATGAAAAAGAGGCTCTCTTCCAATAATAATCCCAATGATGCCTCAACTGATGAAACAAATGCCTTGGGCAACGAAGAAGCTGCTTTGACGGTAACTAAAAATGAAGATGAATTGCCTAAAAAGAAGAAGAAAAAGAAGGATAAAAGACACGAACAGGAGGATCAGCTAGAAACTGTACTGCCAGCAGAAACCGTCCAGAAAAAGAAGGACAAAAGCCAGGAACAGGAGGATCAGCAGGATCAGCCAGAAACTGCGCTGCCACCAGAAACCGTCCAGAAAGAAAAGAAGAAAAAGAAATCAAAGCGTGCTGCTGAAGAGGATGCGGTTGAGCTAGAAAAAGACCAGGCCGCAGAGGAAACCAACCCTCCAAAGCGCAAAAAGAAAAAGAAGGATAAGCAAGAGGTTGTAGAGGAATCGCTAGCGACAGATGAGCACAAAAAGAAGAAAAAATCAAAGAAAACTGAAGAAACGCTGTTGGAAACGACAGAGGAAAATGAACCTGAAAAGCCTGCTAAGAAAAAAAGCAAAAAGAGTAAAACAGAAAACAAAGAACTCACTGTAGAAGAAACTGAACTTAATGAAAAACCCGCCAAGAAGAAGAGCAAAAAGAGTAAAACCGAAAACCGGGAAGAGCCCATTGAAGAGGAAACTACGTCCAAAACTAAAAAGAAGTCAAAAAAACAAGTCGCCGCTGTGGATACACTTCCCACAGAGACAGCAGCCAGCACAGAGCCTCTACCTGCCAAAGCGAAGAAAACTTCCAAGACGAACGAATCCGAAGTAAGTGCAGCAGAATCTGAAATTGTATGCTCCAGCGAGGAAAACGGCGAACTCTTATCAATGGAGCAATTAATTGAAAAACAAAACTCATACAATGTATTCCAAATCTCTTCATTTTGTGCAGAAAAATTTCACATATTAGATATGAATGCGTTCAGGAACGCGACGCTGGCGGAAATAACTGGATACGCGCTCGACAACAATATCGAACTGAAGATTGTGGAGGCGAAAATGGATGCGGAGCGTATTATAGACCTATGGGAGGGTAAACAGAACAAATATATGGGTGTCAAGAATAAAGTACGCTATCTCGCCAGTAAAATAAAACATAAGAAATTGCAACAGGCGGATATTAGGAAAATAGTTAAAGTTAAGGCCTTCTCAGGCATCTAGAGCTCAGAGGCAATAAACAAAATGTTATTTCAACTCTGAATGCTTAAACATTTAGTTTGTATAATTCGATTTTGTACATAGTTTCGATTTTAATGTGTAACAATAAAATACTTTATAATAAATACAAGGAAAGTTTACGTTCATACATTAAAATAATGTCTGAGTTTTGTGATAACGGATTGCAGAGCCTGCTAGCGCAGTTCCACGCTATGCCACAGCAATAAACATTATAATACGTACCAGGAAAATGTACGCTCATGCATTAAAAGTATGTCTGAGTTTTGTGATAACGGCAATGTTGGGATTGTAGAGCCTGCTAGTGCAGCTCTACGCTGTGTCTTCAGTCTTGTTCGCGAGAACCAAGAGGGAGTTTAATGTCTATGTGTGATGTTTTGGTTTATAGCGTTGGTGGTATGAATTCTCGGCAAGCCCTAAGATCTGAACGTAATTATCTTATATATATTAACTAATGTTAAATATGTAACGTAATCTATACAACATGCAATATCAAAAGGCAACGCTAAAATCAAAAATTGCTTAATCTAGTCAGGCAAGTTATTACGGTTAGCTAGGCGACGCGAACGCCGCAAAGGTCTTGTGTCCTGTGTTTGGCTGCGTCGACGCTTCAAATTTTGTGCGGCCATATTACGGTTGTAGTTGTTCAGATTCACATGCGTGTCCCACTGCAGAAATCAAAGGTTAATGTCATAGCACAAAACCAAAACCAAAAAGCAACTCCTTAGCAGCCTTACCGAACTGGAGACAATTTCCGAGCGCACTGGATGCCAGTCCAAGTCGCGTATTACATTCTTGTGTCCCTCAATAGCCTCTTGAATTTTGCCAGTCAGCACGTCGTAAACTGCAGAAAATGAGATAAGATTAACAGGTGTTAAAATATATAAGTAAATACCAGCTACCTATAATACGGCCTGTGGCACAGCCCGTGTATATGAAACGTTGTCCGGTTTGCTCCATTGGAGAGAATTTGGCGCGCAGCAGGGTTTTGCTCACACGATGGCCGCGATATGTCATTATGCTGCTATCACCATCCAGCGCCTTGTGTGGATTATAAACTGCGTGCATATAAAATGAAATGTATAGAGCAATTATAAATATAGAGTACCAAACTAAGTAGTTAGTTACATTCGCGCGGCACGCGGTCCCAGCGATAGTCCCAATTGGTCATCGCCAGCTGATGCTGTCGCGCGTTGCTGCGAAAACGCAGATTGCTGGGCTGGCGCATGTCCCAGATTTTAATGCTCTGATCCTTGGAATTTGAGAGAACATGGTAGCCATCGTTGCGCGAATCAATGTACGTAATGCCATCAAAGTGTCCGATAAACGATACCACACACTTGGACAGACTGCGGCTGCGAAACGATGTGCGCAAATCGTACACCTTGAGCAGGCCATCATCACAACCAGCGATTATCACATTCGGATCATTGTTGTTCACATAACAAACAGCATTCACGTCCGTCTGGGGCATGCGATGTGTGCGTAGAATCTGTGTGGCACGCGTCTGGACATCGCCAACTATAACGGTGGCATTGTTGCTGCCGCCAATTATCTTGTCGCCCGTTGGCGAGTAGCGAAGCGAGAATATGGCGACTCGACTACTTGATGTCTCGTTCACATCGATCCACTGGCAATCGTCGTCGGAGCCATTAAGTGACATTATATAGACTACAAATAGAGGGAAAAATGAGCATGGAAGTTCGAGGCCTCAAATCACACTTACATGAGCGCGACCAGGTGGAGTAGGCAAAATGCTGTCCATTTGGACTGAAGTCAGCATCCGTGATGCTCCACTGTACATCGCGTGCATTGATGCGGTTCAACAAGTGATACGTGCCCTTGGAGCCATCATAGATGCGCACAAAGCCATCTGCAAGATAATTGCGCATTAACTTCATTCAAAAACAGTTAAGAACATTTCTAACTTTGACAGGCCGTCAGGAGTTTGCTGCCACTCTTATTGAACTTGGTCACAAACACTTTGGCGTCCAGAGACATCAGACGCATCGATCTATGATTGGGTATATACATGTTGGAGAAGTAGCGCTGTTGATTGGGTGAGAAAGAGTCGCTGCCAGGCGAGGCGAGGCCATTCTCCCGCTGTTGCAGTGCGTGCATCAGATTCCAGCGCTGTTCCGTGGGTTTGCTGGCCAGACTGCAGCGTGCCCTTACCTCTTTGTACATGTCTGTGGTCTGTAATGGGCGCCATGTATTAGTCATCGGTGCAAACAAAGGTGTTTTGAATTTCATGCTCACTCGAAATTTATCTACATTTGGCTTTTCACAAACGGGCAGATTGTTCGGGTGGTTGTTTTGGGGACGAAAATGCACGTCCATGGTGTTGACTGTGAAATTGATAACATTGTAACCAAATCCATCCTCGGTTATGTCAAATGGTTCATCGTCCTCGCTTACGATACCCATAGAATTACCCATCCTATTGTGAAAGCCAAACCAAAAATGCAATTTAGTCCAATTGCCAATAGTTGTTTGTTAGATTGGACGTTGGACGATAAGTGACAGTGGCGGCGCGTCGATAAATGTGTCATCAGCTGTTTCCCTTATCTCGAGCGCGAACCGCAGCAGGTGCAATTGCTTTTTACAACACTAAAAGTAGTAGCTGTTGTGAATAAATCCAATTTGAAATACACTTATTTATATCGCCTACTATTGGCTCTAGTTTATTTCTTATTTTTTTTGAAACCATTTATACAGGTATGCCAAGTTTTTATTCATCTTTTTATTTACATATTCTGTTAGTTAACAGCCCAGCACTGACTCAAAGCTCGTTGCACGGCCTAAAGCTTGCACATGTCTCAAAGCTCGGATCAGTTCCATAGCGATCGTCAACGAAATAGCGTGCGAAGCGGTCGGTTTTATTTTGCCCTGCACTTGTGTGTGTTTATATGTATGTGTTCGTTTGGTAATGAAATTTGTTACATTCCCGTTTATAGTTTGCACTTGTGTTGGTATATTGTTGAGCCGTTGTTTGCACACTCGCACACAAACCGAAAATATTACAAAAATGCCAAAAATCTAATATATAATAAAGAATCTCAAACATTTGTGTCTGTGCTCACTGAACTGTGTGCGTGAGTGTGTATGTGTGTTTGTATAGGTGTGTGTGTGTTTTAGTGGCGAGTTTTGTTGCTATACCAGCTTATGCTTATGCCGTCTGCATGTGTGTGTGAAATTTATCATAAATACTTTTGCACAACGCGCGCCCCTCAAAACGCATGAGAAGAAAGTTGTTTAGCTGCGTAGAAAACAACACACGAAACAAAAACTAAAAAACAAAAAAAAAACCGAAACACTAAAGAATAACAGAAAACAATTGAAATGCTGAAATACAAAGTATGTCAAACGCTTGGTGGCAGAACAGAGGAGCCAAGGGCCTCCAAAGTGCATACCGTCTAAAGCGAACTTTCCAGCCATGCACTTGCATATACATATGTATGTATATATCGCGTGTGTATAATCAAGGCAAAAAATAATAATAATAATGGAAAGAGACGAGAAATAATTTACAAAAAGTGGAGCGCGCCAGCGCAGCCACACAAAAAAGTGAAAGATTGCAAGCATGCGCCGCTGACGTCGCAGCTACACACACACACACGCACATTTAACGAGAGAGAGGGAGAGAGAGAGAGAGAGGATAGGAGCAGGCGTCAGTTAGAAGGCACCTGCTCTCATTGTTGTTGCTGCTGCATATTTGTGTTTGTTATTTCCCTTTTGTCTGTTTCGTACGTAAATAATAACTGTCGTCTGTGTAATTTAGTGCACACTGCGTTTTAGTGTTGTTTAGCTTCTAACTATTTTCGACAGTTCTCGCCCATTGTTGGGGCGGCGTTTTTAATTAGCAGCCGGAATTTAGCACACTTGCAATTAGCACAAGGCAAAAGTACGAAAAGCAGCCGATTTGCTTAAGCCATTAACAAGACTTGCGCCCGCTTTCCACATTCCATTATTCCAATATTTGCGCATTTCATTTGCCACACTAAGTAGATGGCATAACGGCAGCCACAGTTATCTCTCGTTTTTTTTCGTTAATGCTATTCATTTCGTTTCGTAAGCGCGCACTTTAAATTGTGTTTGTATTTTTTCTATTTTCATTTTCGTTTTTATCTTTATCTGCTTTGCCCGTGTGCAGCGGTCGAAAGTGACGCAATCATTTGCATTTTGTTTAAATAACTATGATTGTTTCATTACTAATGACTGGGAAACCAGTTATAGATATAAACAAGCTGTATTTTATATAGACATTCATTTCGTTTATTGTTGCTGTTGTTGCTCCCTCCTGACAGCGGCAATTATGCCAATACAAGCTCATTAAAGTGTTCACCTTGTTGCCGTTGTTGCGGCTGCATTGCGTCTTTTACTGTTATTAATATCGATAGGCATTGTTATCGTTTCTCTGGCAGCGCCAAACAAAAGACTCAAGCCACAAACTTGCCACCAAAACTGTCACGCAGCAAATTGATAAACACACCAAAACCCAACGCTCTCTGTATGCAAATAGCTTATTCGAAATTAATCTATTTAAATATTTTGATTGAGCGACTTTCGTTTTCTTGATTTAAGTCTATTTTCTGAATGAATCCAAATTGATTTTATGTACAAACTATTCCGAAATAATGCCATCATTCCCAAACTGTTTATTTGAATATTTCTGATTTCTTTGGCTTACTTTTTGAGAGAATTTTTGGTATTGCGTAATAGGAAATTGAATATTTAAAAACGAAACACAATTTGTGGCGCCTAAATAAGAATTTATATTGTAATAATCAGGTTTCAAATGACCTTCGTCGTTCAAATATGCTAATTAGGAGCTTGGATACGTTCTCTTAAATTTGTTTGTTTATATATGTTCATTTTTAGATTCTTTTACTGTGTATTTTATCTCTCAAAAGTTCGTTTAATCCTTCAACTAAAATATTTCATATAGATTTGATTATTTTGTTCGGCATTTCCAGCTGGCCTTGTTGTTCATTTTTCCGCATAGCATTGTAAAAATGCATTGAGTTGGAAAACAAATCCTAAGTCGAGTGATACATGAGATGAGTTTTATGCTTGGCATGTGCGAAATTCTACGCCCACTAAGCACACAAAGTCCCCAACCTGAGATGCGATGGCAATTGGAATGGGTATAGAAATAGAGCCAGAAGCGCTTCTTAGTCACACTTCGCTGGTCGCGGTCGCGGTCGCACTGGGGAATCGTGATTACGGCTGTGACTGTGATGTAAGCGCGGCTCCCCCTTGGCGGGGCCGACGATTTGTCAGACATGTCCAAGTCTTTGTGCGCTTGTCATTACAATTATCATTACACGCTAATTATGTCAAAAGCAGCGTCTAATTAGACCATTCAATCACATCGATTGTGATCGCATCACAGATACGCCCCCCCTCCGCCCGCCCCCTCCGTTACGGCTGCTTTTCGTGTGGGCGTTTCATTCATGGCTCGCAAATGTCGATTGATTTCTTTGTGGGCTGCCAGCGGCGGCGCCAAATTAATTTAACCAAAGCCTGGGCCTATCATTCACCTTATGGGACAGCCCATTGACACGGAACTTATTTAGTTGAGCTGTGATGAGTGCGGATTGGAATGCTGCGAGCTGTCGGCTTAAAAAGTATCTAAAACCATTTTGGTGTTAACTTTAAACTGGTATTAATTGAGAAAATCAGTTTAACATATTATTGAACAAAACTTGAGCTTTTTAAATGTGTGGGAGAATGCAGATATTTAAAGCCAAATAAGTGGGAACAGTTTGTGGCCGATTTTCATGGCAACTAGAGCTCGGTATAGAGAGTTTTTATATGTTAAATTACCCGGCTTTAGTTGGAAAATGTCTAGAGTTTAAGCTAAAATATAAGTTAATGAAAAATATAAAAAAATAAATGTGAGAACAGAGTATATTGTGTACAGAAACCCAAAGGAGAAATAAGTGGGAACAAATTTATGACATATGTTGATTGCAAGTAGAACTCTAGAGAATTTTTTGTATGGGAAATGCTCTTCTAAAATATAAGTAAGTAGAAAAATTATTAAATAGAAAAAGTGAGAACAGATGCAGAAACGCAAAGTGTAAATAAATGGGAACAGTTTATGAAATGTCTTGTTTGTAAGTATAACTCGGAAGAGTGGATATAAATAAATACAAAAATATCTGTAAAAGACAAATGAGAACAGTTTTTGTTATATATATCCATATCCAATAGACTAATAACCGAATATTTATCTATAAATACTTGGGAACAGTTTGAAAAGTATCGTTAAAATTCACATTTAACTGGAATTAACTTTGTATCTATTCCTACTAAAAGCTAAAGCATTTTGTTTAAAATCGTGTGCATTCATTGTCCGAAATGTAAGAAAAAGCTAAATGCTAATCATATTTGAGAGGGACTGCCCCCCCCCCCCCCCCATACCCTCGCCCACCCCTCTTGCACTTGATAGCATTTGTAACGCTCGATCGAGAGCAAAACCTCAAAAGCGGAACTTGAAAAATGGTTTTGCAGGCAATCAAAATAATTTGGTGTTACAAAACGTTGCCTGCATTTACATTGCCACATGGCAAGCGGCAAGCGGCAAGCGGCAAGTGGCAAGTGGCATGCAACAAGCAGCGGGCAGCAACCTTCAATGCGCTAATCACGAAGACAACAGCATGCCTCCCCCCCTCCCTCCCCCTCTCTCTCTGTTTTAACGTTCATTAAACTTGAAAAGAAAGCAAAGCCTGCCATAAAAGCGCATTAGTTTTAATTTTGGCCAAAAGCAAAGGCAAGTGCAAATGCAACTGCAACACAATCAATTAATATTACATGCTCTTGTGTGTGTGTGTGTGTGTGTGTGTGTGTTTTATGGTTTACCAACTCTGATTTAATTGTGGAAAAGCAGCAGCAACAACAACAACAACAATCGCTGCAATTAATCAAATGGCAAAAGCAAAAGAAAAACAATTGCAGCTGGTGCCAGGCAGCGCGCGGCTTTTCCGTTGTTGCGCGTTGCACGTTGCACGTTGCACAGCCGCAACGAGTTCAACTGTTGCACGTTTGCCGCGGCGAGGTCAATGGCAATGCCATTTCATACCCTACACATTAGTCAAGTCGGCCCAGCTCCGCTGCTGACCATATTTATTTGCGGCCGTTGTCCATCGCGTCCACTTGATTAAAATTCATTAATTATATTTTCCACAGTCCAACAAAAATGAAAGTTTTTTTTTAGTTTTTTTTTGCCGCCTTCACACTGAAACTGAAAAATGAAGCAACTTTGGCTTTGACTTTGACTTTTTAGCCATGCGACGGCGGCTTTTGGCCAGTTTTGGTAGCCGTTTTCGTGGCTGGCTGGCCATTGATATGACCAAAATGGGAGGGGCAGCGCTTACTAAAAGGAAATCATCAAATGCCCACACACAAGCGATGCTTGCGGATTCTGCTTGAAATCTGTTGTTTCGATTTGTATACCCAGATTTATATACCCTGCAGCTATTAGCTGAAAATGGGCATATTGTCTGTGACAGGCAGCAGAAACTAAAGTCTAGTTTATTTATAACTTGGTTCGTCTTTTCGAAATCGATAAATATCGATTGTAGACAGGTGATAGATGGATAGATAGATATTATAGATAGATTTTATAGATAATTAGATAGATAGATAGATAAATGGATAGTTAGATAGATAGAAAGATATATAGATAGATGGATAGTTAGATAGATGGATAGTTAGATAGGTAGATGGATAGATAGATAGATAGATAGATAGATAGATAGATAGATAGATTAATAGATTGATAGATTGATAGATTTATAGACTGATAGATAGATAGATAGATAGATAGATGGATAGATAGAGAGATAGATAGATAGATAGATAGATGGAGAGATGGATAGATAGATAGATAGATAGATAGATTGATAGATTGATAGATTGGATTGATAGATTGATAGACTGATAGATTGATAGACTGATAGATGGATAGATAGATAGATTGATAGATAGATAGATAGAACGATAGTTAGATGGATGCACAGATAGATAGATTGATTGATAGATAGTTCAGTTCATTCTTAGCATAGCTCGAAGACTTTAAGAGATATAACTTAAATTTTTGGTATATTCACGTAGTTTAGCGCCTTCTTCAAGCCCTAAATAATTATTAAAGATTAAACAATAAAGAGAAAAGTTAGATAGATTAGATAGATCAGTTCATTCTTAGCCTAGCTCGAATTCTTCGGTATATTCATTCTTCTTCTTCTTCTTCTTCTTTAAACAATAAAGAGAAAAGTTATTTAAGCAAAATGTTTAACATAATTTGTATAAAGCTGCCTGTGCTTTTATATAACTGTGTGCGAGTACATTGCCGCAATTCGCAGCTAGTTACAGGGTATTTACCAGTCGGTCGACTCACAATTTATTGAATTTTTGGCATTTGTGACTTATTTGATGCGTTTTTCGTTCTTAATTTTTTATTTTTTTGGGCAGCTACTGGCTTGAGCAGCAGCAGCAACAGCAGCAGCAGCAGCTGATGTGGAACATGGCGCACCAATTGGCTGGCCAATAAATTAACATAGAGGAGCTGAACAAGCCAAACCGAAAGTGTCACGACGACGACGGCAACAACAAGTAGAACCCGATAAACGTGCCGCACCACAAATCGACAGAGAGACAATCGAAACAGAATATAAATTGCAAGTGAAATTTGAAAATAAAAGTAAAAACCAAAACACGCACACACGTAGAAGATAACCGGAAATCAGTTAAGAGCAGGAGCAACAACAACTATGTATCGGCCAAATTTCTACGAGTCGACCTGCCTGCGGTGCAGCGAGACCGTCTATCAGGTGGATCGCGTGGGGCCACTCAAGGATTTCACATTCTTTCATTCCGGTTGCTTCAAGTGCGTCCATTGCGGCACCAAGCTGACGCTCAAGACATATTTCAACAATCAGCACAAGCAGGACGACAAAGAGGCAAGTTGAAAAAACAAAAACGAAAAAAAAAACGAAAGACTTAGGCGACAAACGTGCAACAAGTTGAAATATTTGCATACTACGACGACGCATGCATAACAATAAATAACTTTGTTATTGCACTTAGCCAAATGTGTGTCACTGCGGTCTGTCAGACATACATATATATCTATATCTATATCTATATATATATATCTATATGCATATCTGTATTTATGGCTTTAAAGGCGGCCTCCAGCTGCGAGTAGGTGAAGCGGTTGCCGCAAAGTCTCTCGCAGCTTTGCACCTAACATTGTTTGACAGTTTAGAAACTAAACAGTTGAAAATTTGATTTATGACTGCGCTAAACAAATTACAAGAATATAATTTAATTAACATGCATATTCGCTGAGTTTTCAACTTATTTGCCCTTTTCCTATAACTTGTTGTTATTTTTCAATTAGCTAGAAACTTGCCAAGATTTTAGATTAAAGCAATAACAATTGTCTTTTTATTGAATTGAATACAACAAGATATCAACTTATTTTCTATTTAAATGTTGTGCCTCGAAGTAGCCAAAAGTATTCTAGTTTAATATAAGGCTATGTCAAGATAGCATCAAACTGAAATTATATACCCTGTAATCCAAAGTATACCCTTTAAAAAGGGCTAAATAGGTATAAATCTATCTGAACGATCTCTTAAGCTATAAAAGCATGAGACTTGAAATTCGAATTATATATTCATGAGTTTATCAAACTTTTTTTCTCGATATCTCCTCCAATTTTGGTTTCTTAAGCATAACTCGAGAATTATAAGCGCTATATACACCAAACTTGGTATGCAGATTCTCAAAGAGTATATAAAAATTAAAAACATTTGCCAGAGCCTATTGCAGCCAGGGTTGCCAAGTTTCTATAGCTCACTTACACATATCTTAAGCAAGTATTGCGACACTTTAGACCTGTTTACAGGGTATCTTTGAGTTATGCTCATTATTTGCAGCTGTATTTAAATCGTCTTTGATTTGTCAACTAAGCTGCCAATTCTGGCACCTGAGACCGTGTCCATTTTGGGCCGCGTTACCAGGCAGTTCTTTATAAGGTCAGAGCATCAGCACATCTTTCAAGATAGAAAAAACAAACACCTTTTATAGAGAGATTTCAGTCAATATGATCTACGCATAACAAAAGCGTGAAGCGCCGTGATTCAACTTCAAGATTGCCCAACAATTTATGCGTAATAAGCATTTTGTCTCGGGCTAATCTGTTTGTACAAATCGGCCGAGCCAATTGCTGAGGCATTTCATCATGATAAACGCTTTTTCTTTGTGTTTTGGATTGCAGGTCTATTGCAGTTCACATGTACCAAAGAGCGGACCCGGCCATCTGGACCAGACAGCGGTGGGCATTCGGCAGGCCTTGAATGCGCCGCGCACCAACAAATTCGTGAACGAGCAAATACGCGGCACACGCACCGAAATCGATGGTGAGCTACGACAAGCAGCCGGATGCACTTGCTCCGTATACTATGAATTTTAACACTTGCAGGTGTTGGCGTCGGCGGCGGCCTCGGCTCGCGCCAATCAACGCCCAATGGCTTTGGAGGCGGCGGGCGGGAGGTGAGCTCCCCATCGCAAAACGATTCCGATTACAAATATGGACGCTTCGATGCGAGCGCTTTGCATATTGCGCATGCTCTAAAGCAAACCGAAGTACAAAAGGCCTACAACAAGGCGCGCGAGAAGCCAATTGATTTCTACCTGGTACGTATACTCTATATATATATATATACTCCCTCTCTTGTATCTATTCTAACTGGCCGCAAATTAAGAAATTATTTAGTGCAGAACATCTAATGAAATTTAACTGCCAGCCAGCCAGCCAGCCAGCCAGCCAGCCAGCCTGGCCAGCAATCATTGTTAAAGTCGTTTATAGCGGGTTGGCAATACACACACACACACGCACACACACACACAGTTAAACTCTACCTAGCTGTGTCTTGTAAACAAACGGTTGTGCAATGCTTCGTCTCCAGCTCCAGCTCCAGCTCCGTCTACGTTTTGCCATGTCCGCCTCGCATTGATCCGAGTCGAGTAGCTAGTTGAGTTGAGCTGAGTTGGGGGTATTTAATTAATGCAATCGCAGGCAGAGTCATGATTATGTAGGCTAGTGTGCTATTTGCACTTGTGCGCTCAAGTTTGTTGCCTAAGTCTTTTGTTTTCACGAGCCACTTCAGTCCAAACCAGCTTAAGAATTAACAAGACTTGCATTAATTAGACTAACTACAAAAAGAAACACAGTTAAACCAGAGACTGCTCTCTGAAGAAGAAGAAGAAGAAGAAGAAGAAGAGGATTGCTATAAATAGTTGACCAGCATAGTTAATATCTATATTTATGTATATTTCCGTTTTTCAAATATGAAAATGCATTTCATTTGCCAACTAGCTGCAATTGTGGCCAAAAGCTTTTGCATTTGCCATCTCGATTACAATTTATGGCTATCTGCAGCATTTATTGGCAAGTGAGTCGCATATGCATCTATATCTATATCTATATCTATATCTATGGCAGATCTGCTTTAGCTTTAGCTTTGACTTAGCATGACTTGGCACTTGTAATCGCTTGACGCTGCAAATCTGCATGATGGTGAAAGCATTATAATCGCATTTTACGTAAAAAAAAAGAAAAACCGATTTCAAAAAAACGAAATTAAAATCGCACAAGTTTTTGTGTGTGCGTGTGTGTGTGTGATCTGTTCGTTTGGTTGGTGGCACCACAAACAGTTTTTCTTTCACTTTCGAGAATGCCACACGCGAGTGATCAGCAGCAGCAGCAACAACAACAACAACAACAACAACTCTTAACAGCAGCAGGCGCATATTATTGCAACGCTCAATTTAACAAATTTCGAACAGGTGTTTGATGGCTTTGTTGTTGCCACACCGCAAAAGCCACAAAAAAGCGCCGTCTAATAGAAAATATGTGAAAAATTGCATGCATGCAATCATTAAAAATTTTGCATGTTTTACAACTGCCACGCACACAGACACACACATACACACGCACACACCCACCACCAACAGCAAAAACAACGCTGCGAGCTCATTTGTAGCTGGTTTAACGCAGTCGTACACATCATTTTGGCCAGCAGTGTGCCTCTGCCGCGGCCGCTGTGCTGGCAGCATAGATTACCATATACGGATATCTGTGTGTGCGTCGCCGTCACTCGTTATTCCGGCTGCACTAAAAGCGACGTCAGCGTCGACGTCAACGCTGCGCCGTTTGCAAAATCTAAATTATGCGCACCAGAGTGAAAGTAACGGCAACGTCGCCGCATTTGCTTCATCATTCAGCTGACAGCCACGGCGGCAGCAGCAACAGCAGCGCAGTCGGCAGCGTCATTCTTTGGCGCTCTCTTGCACGCTCTCTCACTGTGTGCGTGACGCACTGCGCTCTCCCTCGCTCTCTCTCTCTCTCTCTCTCTGTCCATTTGCGGCCCTTATGCAATGCACGCCATGTAATTGTTATTGGCCCGCAAACACTTCCTCATGCCTAACTTTAAGCTTTTTGCGCACTTTTGTCAGACGCAGTCTGGCCAATTTACCGTTAATGCAGGCGTGTATACATATTTATTTGTGGAGGGAAATTTGTTGTGGCGAGGGGAATTTTTGGTTTGTATAAGTAGCTTGCGCAATAATTAATTTTCGAAGCTTTTGCACTTTCGTTTTCATTTCGATTTCGGCTGCTGCTGCTGCTGTTGTTATTGTTCTCGTTGTTGTTGTTGTTGTTGCTTTTGCGCTTGGGATTTGTCACAGTGGGCGTCATAAATGTTGTTGCTCTCAATTTTATTATATTTCATTTTTTTGGACGCTCACGCAATTCGACTGTCCATTGTCAACGGGGCTATGAACCATTTAGTTGTTGTTGTTGTTGTTGCCACTGCGGCTGCTTATTACTCATTTTTTGTTGTTGTTGTTTGTTTTTGTTTTAAAGTTATTGTTTTGAACTTGACATTGAAATTTGGTTTTAATTGCATATTGTTATGGCTTATATGTAGTTATTAATGTGCACGTGTGTGTGTGTGGCGCTAAATGCTTCGAAATTCCCATGCGGAAGCATTAATTAAATGCGGACCATGGCTAATTTGTTTAATGCCGTATTATTTGCCACACATGTTGTATGCGAAATTGAGTGCAACATGCAACCTGCAGCCGACTGTAATTATGACAAAGCCAACTAATTGAATTTTATGTGCCTCAAAAAGGGTTAAATTCATGGGAACACTCTCGGGCAAACGATAAGTTTGTTTGTTTTACTCGATGTGTATATGATTAAAGCTTATTGGGTACTGATCTCTGATTGGATATCATGTGCATCTAACTGAAGTTGACATTCTTAATGTGACCAGGGCGAAGCCGGATAATTTCCTTCAGTATCTCATAACCACAGCACATTATTACAGATCTTAGCTAGATAAAAAAAAAAAATGCTCATAAATACTTAAAAGATCCTTTTAGTATTTTCTGGATTTTTGTATTTCAAACTTCCTTGTTTTAAGCTGGTCTCTCAGTCCAAAAAGATCAGCAAAACAGTCTCAAACCGTTTTTTGCACTCACGTCGTAATTTGTAGAATTTAATTTACCGCAATTTGTAGTTGGGTGAAATTTTGAGTGGGCATTAGAAAAATTCGCCTAGTTATCGAGAAGGCGCACGCAATGCGTGACCACAGCGCCAGTTGTGTGGCAAGGAGTGAAGGGGGGGCGGAGTGGGGGGGGGGGGGTGGACTGCAGATAATGTCAGATATTTAGCCAAGCGTCGCAGCTGAAGCGTGGCATTATAATTAGCCAAGTTAACAAGCCAAGCATTGCAAATGCAACTGCTGCTGCTGCAACATGGCCAGAAACGAGATGCGGCGCTTTCTCTCTCGAGCTTCTCTCACCAGCTCTCTTTGCAGGCTCGCGAGGAGCAGGCGCACCTGGAGATGAAGCATCGCAAGGAGGAGGACGATCTGTATCGTAAGTTTGCGCGCAAGCGCGAGGAGGAGGATCGCAAGATACAAAACGAATTCCAGGACGAATGGGAACGTGAGCTGCAGCGGCTGACGCACAAGTTCGAGAAGGAGCTGGCGACGTCGCGTCGCAATCGGGACGAGGCCAACATCCTGACGCTGCGCCACGAACAGCAAAAGGAGGACCTCGAGAAGAACATGACGCTGCGGCGCAGCAAGAAGAAGGAGAGCATCACACGGAAAATGCTCGAGCACGAGCGCTACGAGACGGCCGCCCTGGTCGATCGCCAGTCCAGCGAAATGCTGGAGCTGATCAGCGCCCGACGCTCCGAGTACATGCAGAGCGAGAGCATCTTTCTCGACGATGAGTTCAGCGAGGGCGCCGTCCCCATTGAGTATCCATTGAATGCGCCTGTGCCGGCGCCGCCGGCAGTTAGCAAATTTCAAATCTACACGGATCCCATTGAGTTCGAGGATGTGGATCGCATTGCCATTTCGGTGGCGCAGGAGGATCAGAAGACGTTCACGGATCTGGTGCGGCAGCTCGTCGGCCGCTGCACCACGGACATCGAGAAGGCGCGCACCATCTTCCGCTGGATCACGGTCAAGAATCTGAATGCCATGCACTTTGATGACGATCTGCGCGGCGATACGCCGATGGGCCTGCTGCGCGGCATCAAATACGGCACGGAGAGCTACCATGTGCTGTTCAAGCGCCTCTGCAGCTATGCGGGCCTCCACTGTGTGGTCATCAAGGGCTATTCGAAGAGCGCCGGCTATCAGCCGGGCGTCAAGTTTCAGGATTCACGTTTTCGCAACTCCTGGAATGCGGTCTATGTGGCCGGCGCCTGGCGTTTTGTCCAGTGCAATTGGGGCGCACGCCATCTGGTCAATGCCAAGGAGGCGCCCAAACAGGGACGCGGCAAGAACGACAGCCTGCGGTGAGTCCTGGCCCACTCGCCACACTCACTCTCTAAATCTCTCTGCCTCCTTCCAGCTATGAGTATGATGACCATTATTTTCTGACGGATCCGCGCGAGTTCATCTACGAGTTCTATCCGCTGCAGGAGGAGTGGCAGCTGCTGAAGCGACCCATAACGCTGCGCGAATTCGAGAATCTGCCCTTTGTCCGTTCGCTGTTCTTTCGCTATGGCCTCCACTTTGCGGACGAGGGCTACGGCGCCGTTGTCTTCACGGACGACACGGGCGCCGCCACCGTGCGCATCGCCATGCCCACGGACATGCAGAGCTGCCTGATATTCCACTATAACCTCAAGTTCTATGACAGCGACGAGGAGCTATCCTACGATGGCGTCTCGCTCAAGCGCTTCGTCATGCAGTCCGTCATTGGCAACATTGTCGCGTTCCGCGTCCATGCGCCCTGCTCGGGCGCCTTTCTGCTCGACATATTCGCCAATGCGGTGACGCCGCAGGAATACCTGACCGGCGAGCCCATGAAGTTCAAGTCTGTGTGCAAGTTCAAGGTGAGCAGCAGCAACACCCATTAATCTTATCTGGCTCCACTCTAAATCCTGGCCTGCTTCCAGATCTGCTGCGAGGAGCTGCAAACGGTGATGGTGCCGCTGCCGGACTGCGCCAGCGGCGAGTGGGGCCCCACCAAGGCGACGCGCCTCTTCGGACTCATACCCATTACACATCAGGTGGGTACAAGCTGGCGTTGAACTAGCAGCCGGTTCTAACTTCATCTTGTTCTGCTTGTCAGGATCCGCTCATCTTTGCCGGCCGCAGCTTGGATCTGCAGTTCCGCATGTCGCGCCCGCTGACCGATTTCATGGCCACGCTGCACAAGAACGGCATCGAGGAGAAGAAACTGGCCAAATATGTCACGCACAGCACGCTGGATGACATTGTCACGTTCATCATTAAGTCAGTTGGATGGGAATAACAAATTTCACGCTTCGAATTCATTTGAAAACTTTAATCTTTCAGCTTTCCGGAGGAGGGTCAATATGGTCTGGATATATATACGCGTGAGCTGGGCGCGCCGCAGCATCATCACCATCACAATAATAATAACAATAACAACAATAATAATTCCTCATCCGGCGAGAAGCATCTGCTGACGCACTGCTGTAAATATTTAATCAACTCCTCCAAGCGGAATTAAGTTTGTTATATGAATTTGTTGAAAACGCAAACAGAATGCAATATTAATTAATAGTCTAGTTAATAAGCAGCTACTAAAAGTCTATATATATATATATGTATACAAATATGTATACCATGCACCACTGTGCGTGCAGGTGCTAAAGATAATGCATGCCTGAGTGCATCCACTTAAATATCTGCCCATCTATATATCCTGCTCAAACACATTTGTTAATCCACACACAGGCTACATCATATTATATATCTTAACGAATTGGCAGCTATATATATATACATATATATTAATCGCATCGAATTGAATTATGTAAATACTCTAGACTCTAATCATTAGACCTTAAATGACCTAGCAATATGCCTGGAGTAATCCAATTTTTGAATACGTGTTGTACTTAATGATTAATGCCTAATAATTTATTATTGAATTAAAAACGTCGCGATGTTTTGTCCTTAATACACCAGCTTATATTGTGTTGATCTAGGTTTCGTTTAAGCGTTCCGATTTTTTTTTTTGTATGACAATCACCTGTAATTAAACACTCTGATAATGTGAACCAATATATAAACTTATGTATTTTCGGCCCACTAAAAACACCCTCCTTATTTTGGCTTTGTCTACTGCGGTTCCAGTTCCAAAATTTCCATACATGTTATTTTAAATGATTACAACTTGGGTATTTGAAATCCGAATCGATAGTCGGAATCTGTACGAGCTGAAAGAGGTATATCATTCCGAAATCGGACTGTATTTTCCCGAGATATTTCAATTTGAAAATTTCCGAAAAACTTCAAATGGCCATATCTCGGCCAAATAAAGCCCGATCCCTGCAAGATTGGGCGCGTTGAACTCGTGGGGATCCATAGAATAGATTGGCATCAAGGTTTTTTTGATTTCAGAAAAAAGTCATTTTTCACAAAAAACGTGATGTAACCCCTTGCCATTTTGGTCAATTTGGGTCATCTCTTAGAATGGGGATTTTTGGATGGCAATCGATAGTCGGCATCCTTACGAGTAGAAAGAGGTATATCATTCCGAAATCGGACTGTATTTTCCCGAGATATTTCAATTTGAAAATTTCCGAAAAACTTCAAATGGCCATATCTCGGCCAAATAAAGCCCGATCCCTGCAAGATTGGGCGCGTTGAACTCGTGGGGATCCATAGAATAGATTGGCATCAAGGTTTTTTTGATTTCAGAAAAAAGTCATTTTTCACAAAAAACGTGATGTAACCCCTTGCCATTTTGGTCAATTTGGGTCATCTCTTAGAATGCGGATTTTTGGATGGCAATCGATAGTCGGCATCCTTACGAGTAGAAAGAGGTATGTCATTCCGAAATCGGACTGTATTTTCCCGAGATATTTCAATTTGAAAATTTCCGAAAAACTTCAAATGGCCATATCTCGGCCAAATAAAGCCCGATCCCTGCAAGATTGGGCGCGTTGAACTCGTGGAGATCCATAGAATAGATTGGCATCAAGGTTTTTTTGATTTCAGAAAAAAGTCATTTTTCACAAAAAACGTGATGTAACCCCTTGCCATTTTGGTCAATTTGGGTCATCTCTTAGAATGGGGATTTTTGGATGGCAATCGATAGTCGGCATCCTTACGAGTAGAAAGAGGTGTGTCATTCCGAAATCGGACTGTATTTTCCCGAGATATTTCAATTGGAAAATTTCCGAAAAACTTCAAATGGCCATATCTCGGCCAAATAAAGCCCGATCCCTGCAAGATTGGGCGCGTTGAACTCGTGGAGATCCATAGAATAGATTGGCATCAAGGTTTTTTTTGATTTCAGAAAAAAATCATTTTTCACAAAAAACGTGATGTAACCCCTTGCCATTTTGGTCAATTTGGGTTATCTCTTAGAATGCGGATTTTTGGATGGCAATCGATAGTCGGCATCCGTACGAGTAGAAAGAGGTGTGTCATTCCGAAATCGGACTGTATTTTCCCGAGATATTTCAATTTGAAAATTTCCGAAAAACTTCAAATGGCCATATCTCGGCCAAATAAAGCCCGATCCCTGCAAGATTGGGCGCGTTGAACTCGTGGAGATCCATAGAATAGATTGGCATCAAGGTTTTTTTGATTTCAGAAAAAAGTCATTTTTCACAAAAAACGTGATGTAACCCCTTGCCATTTTGGTCAATTTGGGTCATCTCTTAGAATGCGGATTTTTGGATGGCAATCGATAGTCGGCATCCTTACGAGTAGAAAGAGGTATGTCATTCCGAAATCGGACTGTATTTTCCCGAGATATTTCAATTTGAAAATTTCCGAAAAACTTCAAATGGCCATATCTCGGCCAAATAAAGCCCGATCCCTGCAAGATTGGGCGCGTTGAACTCGTGGAGATCCATAGAATAGATTGGCATCAAGGTTTTTTTGATTTCAGAAAAAAGTCATTTTTCACAAAAAACGTGATGTAACCCCTTGCCATTTTGGTCAATTTGGGTCATCTCTTAGAATGGGGATTTTTGGATGGCAATCGATAGTCGGCATCCTTACGAGTAGAAAGAGGTGTGTCATTCCGAAATCGGACTGTATTTTCCCGAGATATTTCAATTGGAAAATTTCCGAAAAACTTCAAATGGCCATATCTCGGCCAAATAAAGCCCGATCCCTGCAAGATTGGGCGCGTTGAACTCGTGGAGATCCATAGAATAGATTGGCATCAAGGTTTTTTTTGATTTCAGAAAAAAATCATTTTTCACAAAAAACGTGATGTAACCCCTTGCCATTTTGGTCAATTTGGGTTATCTCTTAGAATGCGGATTTTTGGATGGCAATCGATAGTCGGCATCCGTACGAGTAGAAAGAGGTGTGTCATTCCGAAATCGGACTGTATTTTCCCGAGATATTTCAATTTGAAAATTTCCGAAAAACTTCAAATGGCCATATCTCGGCCAAATAAAGCCCGATCCCTGCAAGATTGGGCGCGTTGAACTCGTGGAGATCCATAGAATAGATTGGCATCAAGGTTTTTTTGATTTCAGAAAAAAGTCATTTTTCACAAAAAACGTGATGTAACCCCTTGCCATATTGGTCAATTTGGGTCATCTCTTAGAATGCGGATTTTTGGATGGCAATCGATAGTCGGCATCCTTACGAGTAGAAAGAGGTGTGTCATTCCGAAATCGGACTGTATTTTCCCGAGATATTTCAATTTGAAAATTTCCGAAAAACTTCAAATGGCCATATCTCGGCCAAATAAAGCCCGATCCCTGCAAGATTGGGCGCGTTGAACTCGTGGAGATCCATAGAATAGATTGGCATCAAGGTTTTTTTTGATTTCAGAAAAAAGTCATTTTTCACAAAAAACGTGATGTAACCCCTTGCCATTTTGGTCAATTTGGGTTATCTCTTAGAATGCGGATTTTTGGATGGCAATCGATAGTCGGCATCCGTACGAGTAGAAAGAGGTGTGTCATTCCGAAATCGGACTGTATTTTCCCGAGATATTTCAATTTGAAAATTTCCGAAAAACTTCAAATGGCCATATCTCGGCCAAATAAAGCCCGATCCCTGCAAGATTGGGCGCGTTGAACTCGTGGAGATCCATAGAATAGATTGGCATCAAGGTTTTTTTGATTTCAGAAAAAAGTCATTTTTCACAAAAAACGTGATGTAACCCCTTGCCATTTTGGTCAATTTGGGTCATCTCTTAGAATGGGGATTTTTGGATGGCAATCGATAGTCGGCATCCTTACGAGTAGAAAGAGGTGTGTCATTCCGAAATCGGACTGTATTTTCCCGAGATATTTCAATTGGAAAATTTCCGAAAAACTTCAAATGGCCATATCTCGGCCAAATAAAGCCCGATCCCTGCAAGATTGGGCGCGTTGAACTCGTGGAGATCCATAGAATAGATTGGCATCAAGGTTTTTTTTGATTTCAGAAAAAAGTCATTTTTCACAAAAAACGTGATGTAACCCCTTGCCATTTTGGTCAATTTGGGTTATCTCTTAGAATGCGGATTTTTGGATGGCAATCGATAGTCGGCATCCGTACGAGTAGAAAGAGGTGTGTCATTCCGAAATCGGACTGTATTTTCCCGAGATATTTCAATTTGAAAATTTTCGAAAAACTTCAAATGGCCATATCTCGGCCAAATAAAGCCCGATCCCTGCAAGATTGGGCGCGTTGAACTCGTGGAGATCCATAGAATAGATTGGCATTAAGGTTTTTTTGATTTCAGAAAAAAGTCATTTTTCACAAAAAACGTGATGTAACCCCTTGCCATTTTGGTCAATTTGGGTCATCTCTTAGAATGGGGATTTTTGGATGGCAATCGATAGTCGGCATCCTTACGAGTAGAAAGAGGTATGTCATTCCGAAATCGGACTGTATTTTCCCGAGATATTTCAATTTGAAAATTTCCGAAAAACTTCAAATGGCCATATCTCGGCCAAATAAAGCCCGATCCCTGCAATATTGGGCGCGTTGAACTCGTGGAGATCCATAGAATAGATTGGCATCAAGGTTTTTTTGATTTCAGAAAAAAGTCATTTTTCACAAAAAACGTGATGTAACCCCTTGCCATTTTGGTCAATTTGGGTCATATCTTAGAATGGGGATTTTTGGATGGCAATCGATAGTCGGCATCCTTACGAGTAGAAAGAGGTATGTCATTCCGAAATCGGACATATAGTACCCAAGATATTTCAATTTTAATATAATTCCTTACCGCACCTTTTTCAAAAACCCGAAAAAGATAATAAAAAAAGTTAAAGATTACCGAGCCTCCACCGTCGTGGGGTTTACTACTCCAAGACTAACTGGCCTGGAGCAAGTTTTACAAATCTGAAAAATGTGATTAGTTTTGGTAAAATGAGAAAAAAGATGATTTTAAAATGGAATACTGAAATGCATTTATTAGACAACGGGCTATGGGTGATTTTAAGGATTGCTTTTGAGAGGAAAGTTTATTGGAATAATTTCTGCAATCTGGATCTAAAGCCACCCAATAGAAGGCTAATAAGCTTCAGGACTGGTCTTAGTTGTCGCCCTCGTCATCGGATGCAAGATTAATGCAAAGCGGCGATTCATCTGGTTCCTCCAAAGGATCTTCCTTTACGACAGGATGGGGCTCCTGGGCGGTGGGGTTTGTTTCTTGCTTAACAGGTTTCGACGGCTTAGCTTTGGGATGTCTAGCGGAACGATTAGAGGGTCGCGGCGGCGACTTGTCGCCAAATCTCTTACGTAGCCCACGCACAGGAACTGTGCCGTAACGATAGAACACTGAGTAATCGTTGGCAGCTATATCCGTGGCACTGGCCTTGTCTATGCTGAGGACGAGCAGCGTGCCGCCGGCCTGGCTCTTGCGTGAGACTACCTTCCAGAGATCGGTGTTGTACTTGTTCTGCGACCTAATCAGACCCAGCAGAAACTCATCGGATTTGCCTTCGCTGCGTGGCAGGAAAATCGTAATGTAGTAGTACTTGGACTTGG